GAAGGCAAGAACGAGAGAAAGTAAAAGGGAAGGAAGGAAAATAAAAGAAGGAAGGAAGGCAAAAAGGAGAGAAAGTAAAAAAAGGAGGAGAGAAAGTAAAAAAGAGAAGGAAGGAAGCGACAGAGGGGGGGTGGGCACTGAAAGAATTGCTGCCCTCTAAGCCTGCCTGACCACATCCTCCTCCTTCACTTATTTATTTTATTTTATTTAAAACATTTATATTTCTTCCCCCGCCTTTCAACCAAGTCCGAGTGGCCCCTTCCAGGCCACCTCGGAGAACGTTGGCTTCCTTTGGCTCTCCCCCGATCCCGTCTCTCTTAAATTTGCTACGGTTCGGAAACCTTGCCCTAGTCTTAAGTGGCTCTTGCACCCAGCAGCGGGGTTGGACTGGATGACCTCTAGGCTCCTTTCCTTAACTTTGAGAGGAGGAAAAGCAGCCGCGGGAGGAGAAAGGATACTGGCCAAGGTGTTCATCTTGCTCTGTATGGATTTCATCATTCCTCGCTGCGAAGTCATGTTTTCTTTTGTGGCCATGGCAATGCTGAGACGGAGAGGAACCGGAGAAAGGAGGTTAGGTGCATGTTGCTCAAGGTTAACTCACGACAGGTAGTCCTCGCCTTACGACCACAACCGAGCCCAAAAGTTCCACCGCTAAGCGAGAGGCTTGGTTAATTGAATTTTGCCCCATTCCACGACCGTCCTTGCCACGGTGGCTAAGTGAATCGCTGCGGTTCTTTGAAGGGGGGTCACGCGGTCGTTAAGCGAATCCGGCTTCCCCCACCTGCCCCGACCTTGCTTGTCAGAAGGATCGCAAAAGGGGATCGCGTGACCCCCCTCGGGAGACGCTGTGACGGTTGTAAGTATGAAGCAGTTACCGAGCACCTGAATTTTGATGGCATGATCATAAGGGATGCTCTAACCAAAGGTGTTATTTTGCAGCCACGTTTTGCACTGCCGTTGTAACTTCGGACGGTCACTAACCGAACTGTTGTAAGTCAAGGACTACCTTTGAACTGTTGTAAGTCAAGGACGACCTGTGCTTGAAAACGACTGAGCCCTGTTTTGATAGACAAATCATCAGGAATCTGGCAGTTACTCCCAATTTAAACCGTGAGTCTCGAGCCAAACTTCTAAAACTTCAAAAATATTTATTGGGAATTAATATGTCCGGCACTGCCTGGGTGCAGCCAACTCTGAGACACGTAATTCACTGTTCTCCCTTGACCCTGGTTTTCCCTCCACCTCTCTGAGTGTATCGTAATCCATATCCTCCAATGGGACACCTCCATAGCCCAGAGTCATCCATCAGGCTCTCCAATTAGAAGTGTGCACGGCAGAAACTTCGGTCACCTCCTTACTATCTTTGAAAACTATTTATGGAATGCACTTTCGGTTTCCAAGCTGCCCCACTGCTATTTCAAACCCCTTTCCCCAGGGATGGGATTCTACCGGTTCGGATGGGTTCTATGGAACCAGTGGTTATGGTTCTGTGCAGTTCGGAGAACCAACAAATTGTGTTCCTGGCTGGCCCTGCCCTTCTCCTCCCGCCCCTCCCCTCCCCATCAGTTTTGATCGCGCAGGCGCTACATCGCTGATTGCATTCTCCCCCCCCCAATCACTCCTTAAGGCCGTGATGGCGAACCTATGGCACGCATGCCACAGGAAAACTTGCCTCACTGGGCATGTGCGCGCCTCCCAGGTGATTTTTTTCAGCCCGTTTGAGGCCTTTTTCGGCCTCTCAGAGGCTCGAGGGAAGCCTCTGAAGTCTTTGTAGGCTGAAAACCAGGCCCGTTTCGTCACTTCCGGTATTTCCGGAAATACCGGAAGTGATGAAATGGCCCTATTTTTTCGGCCTGCAAAGGCTGCAGAGGCTTCCCTCGAGCCTCTGAGAGGCCGAAAAAGACCTCCAATAGGCTGAAAATCGGTGGGGAGTCGCAGTGCAGGTCAGGGGGCGGTGGGGAGGGAGGGCAATCGCGCACACATGCGCGCGCATTGCCTTCTGGAGGCCGGCACACGAGCGCGCGAGCGTGATTTTCCCACACAGGAGCCCCAAAAGGTTAGCCGCCATTGCCTTAAGATATTTCTTTTTTTTTCCCCCTCCCGACGATCAGCTATTTGAACAATCAGCTGTGTGCCCTCACCCTCTTACTGCTTCGCCCGGGAAGCTGCCCTGAGGTCCAGAGCCCCCAAAAACAGAGCATGGGGGGGGCAATGCACCCCCGGCTCCATTTTTTTTGCCTCCCTGGGCCCCAAGGAAGCCACCTGGGAGCAGAACTACCGCCCAAGAGGCTTTCCTGAGGCCCAGAAGGCCCCTAAAACGGGGGGTGGGTGGGTGCCAAAAAAGAAGCCACGCCCACCCAGCCACACCCACAGAACCGGTGGTTAAAAAATTGGGCTCCCACCCCTGCCTTTCCCCCCTCCACCGCCCCTTATGTTGGCAACTCTTAAAAAGACCAAAGAAATATTTGATGAGTTGACACAGATAATATTTGATTTGTAATAAACCTGTCCAGAGCCCCCGAGGCCTTTCCCATGGCATTCTGGGATTTGTAGTTTGGGGGGTGGAGGGGAGGCCCAGAGTGGCACCCAGGAGGAGCAAGGAGGGGAATTGGCCAATATTATAAACTCATTAAACAGAAGATTGGATTGGATGGGAATTTCTGCCTCTTCTCTGGGGCTGCATAAAAAAAGCCTTCAGCAGCGGTGAGATAAATGCCAGCTTGGCCCCGGATGGGAGGAAGGAGTGAGAAAGAAATTCAAGAGAAGCGAGCCTTGATTCTCCGGCGGATAGAAATTGAGGGAAAAAAAGGGGGAAAGGTGCGGTTATTTCTCAACCTTGGCCATTATAAGGCGAGTGGGCTTCAAATGCCAGAATTTCCCAGCCAGGGTGGGTGAACTCAATATGCCGGCTGGGGGACTCTGGGAGTGGAAGCCCTCCCCTCTTAAAGCAGGCTGGCTGGGGCATTCTGGGAGTGGAAGTCCTCCCCT